CAAAAATTAATGAAGACTCAGAACAAAACCAAATTAAGTTTGCACATGTTTCACAAGGTGCACTATGGAATCCAAGCATTTAAAACAGGTTTCAAACATTTTAAGACACTTTTAAATGAGCAAAAAGGGACATCGTTAAGTGAAATTCCCCCATAGAGAACATCGTTAAACGATGGGGGAAATTCCTCAAAAAAACCCATCGCTGTGTGAATTCATCGTTGTATGAAGCAATCGTTGTGCGAGGCACCACTGTATTTTCAGCTGGCATTAGGCAGCTACTGCTGTTTGCTTGTTACTTTTCCGCCCTAAACAATCCCTTTCCCCACCAAGAAAAAAAAAGTCTTCCACCTTTAAGATCTCTTGATCCTTTAGGGTAGGCAAAGTTCAGCCATTTTTACACACACCAGTTGTCCCTAGTTCCCCTTCCCCCCAGCAAAAAAAGTGAATGAATAGTAAACCACCTTCAAAGTAGGTCACATTTAATACCCAAATGCAGTTTTCCAAAGTGAAAGTAGACTTCTAGGCCCAGCTACAACTTCTCCTTTCACACAACAGTTCAGTGATGGGAGAAGGCTACAAAAACCTACTTAACTCTTTCCTTGGAACTCCTCTCCTTAAAGCCCAGGGTCCAACAGCTCATCAAACAAAGCAAGCCATAAACAGTAAGGGAAGGCTTGATGGCTTAGCCCTCCTGAATCCACAACAGTTTCTCTACAGGCGTACTCACCGCCTTTCTTGAAGACGAAGCCAATGGGGATGGAGATGAGAAGTATGGCCAAGTACAGAATTTCTTCAGGTGTCATCGTGGCTGGCTGGAAAGATACACAGTCAATATAAGTTTCACTAATCAAAGCTGGAAAGACCGGAAAGACCAGGCAGAAGAATGTGACCCTGGCCTTGTAGGCAATGAAGAAATAATAATTATAAGGGCAAGAGGGAAATAGGAAGCAAGCAAGCTTTTGAACTGCACATCAGTGTGATCCAAAAGGACACAAGGGTTCTTGTATCAAGGGCTTGGGATCTTGTAGGGAAGGTCAATGTATGCTGAGGGGTCATCATCAACAACAACAACAACAACTCTAGAGCAAGAGAAATGCTGGCTGGAGGGATTCTGGGAGTTATATTTAAAAAGCAACTTTTCCAAATTCTGCAGATTGTAACTGAGGACCACCTGATGAAAGGACAGAGATCACAATTTAAGCCCTGCCCCTCCTTTTTTCACTGTCAACTATTGCAGCTAATCACACCCAAGCCAGTTTCCAGATTCTTGCACAAGATACTCCACCTCCACCCAGTTTGCTTCCAGTGGCTCTGTGCCCATGTCCTTGTCTCTCTAATCCCGTGTATCGCTTCCCAACCCATACTTTCTATATTTAAGTAGGAATCCTTGCACCAGATTAAAAGCAAGTGCCTCTCTAAAGATGCCACAAACACACAGCACTGCTCCAGAAAACCTAGGATGCCTAATGCACATTCTCACGGTTCCATGCTTTTTTCCTACCCAGGGAAGGTGCAGGATTTAGACTCCTCTGTCCAAAATCCTACCTACAAATCCTGAATAGACTGAGTTGTGGAATAAGGAGAAAAATCAGGGGATGAAGCAAGAACAGTGGGAAGTGGAAGGGAAAGAAAAGAGAGATGTGGATGAAATATAGCTCTTGCTCTGCCCCACTACAGAGCATTATGTCCCACTACAATTTGTAAAGAGGAATACATGCAGGTCGGAGCACAGTAAGAAAAGAAAGGTTTCAAAACAAAAGCACAAAATATGTAAATCTGTAAGAAAATCTGCCTAAAGCAGAAAATGGAGGTGAAATTAGATATTCCTTTGGTAAAACATGCACAGAATCTGAAGTAAAGCTGAAATAATTTTTAGTAATAGGATGAACTGTCTATCAACCTGGGGTTAGGAGGAAATCAGAATTTACTGGAGAGGAAGAGAAGCACTATAACTTATTGGCAATTGTGGGTAGTACCAGGAGCACTTAAGCCATTTTCAGAAGGGGAAAAAACTGTGATGCTCAAAATATCTGATGAAAAGCTGCCTCCTGTGCCTGCTGAAGGTTCTTTCTGGAAAATGCAATGACAAGCCTATTTTAACCCCTGCTAGGTTCTGGTTTGCTTGTTCATTCTGATCCCTGAATTTGTACAGAGTGCAATTTCCCCCTACGAATATCCCCAGTAAATACTCCCCCCCCAAAAAAAATGGAGAATTAGGGATAAAGGCTAATGATTTGTGTGCATTTTTTAAAAAAGCACGTTTCCTTGGCAGGGTAATTTTCAGAATTTTTAATCAAAATAGCATATAGCTCACTCAGTTAGCATATAGCTCACTCAGTTAGGCATCCAGTTGTAGGGATGGATGTGAGCTTGATTCAACTACAGTCTCTCAGGAGAAGAAGCAGCCCATGTAGCCTTGGGCCAGCTGGATGGTCCAAAGCAACCCCAGAAGAGAATGGCAAACCACTTCTGAATTTTCTCTACCTAAGAAACCCTGGAAATGGTCACCATAACTCATAATTGACTCGGCAAGACATAATTATTATATGGGATTTTCTAACATACTAACAAGGGAGGAGAGAGATTCACAAAAATTCCTTAGGTGGCCTAGAATGGGGGAGGAAAACTATTCCTGTGATTTCCCCCAAATGGATTTCTACACCTACTTCCTCGCCACTGTTACTAACAAGTGAGAAAAATGCTTGTGATCTTCCTGAGTAAAAATATATTAAACTGCAGCCTAGGGAGGGATTCCCCACCTTATACCACTCCATGGCCAAGATGTGATGACATTAAAAGATCCCAAGGGTGCAATCAATCCAGATTTTCTACACCAAGCTCTTGTTCGTCTCTTCCAGCCCCACACTATATACTGTTTATACTGTTACACAGGACATATTTCTGGTTTAAAACTGATGCTCCTCTTATGTCACGCTTGACACACACACACATTTTCCCCTCCCCCATCCCCGTGCATGATGCTGATCCAGTAAATCCAGCCGCTCGCCCTTCCTAGGCCCTATGCTTGTAAACTATTCAGCCCCCCGTTATCCCTGACGATCACCCCTCTCACCACCTTTCAAGACAGTCCTTCAGCCACGTGCATTTGTCCAAACGTCGGGATCGACCAGAGGAAAGGGGGGGGGGCAGCCTAGGAATCTGGGGAGGAGGGGAACCGTCAGCCTTTTGCGAAACCCATTTCTGAGATTGGGCAGAGCCACCTCCCGGTGAGAGCGACTCCGCAACCTTATGAAGGATTTCTCAACCTCCGCTCGCTGCGCTCCTCTATCTAGGCTTCCTGTTCCTCTTGCACCGCTTCCCCTCCTTTGCAAAAAAAGAAAACGAAGCGGAGGGAAGGTTCCTGCGCGCCTCCTTGCTTCATTGTTTGCTCTGCCTTCGCTCCCCCCCTCGGGTGACTCCATGCGGCCGTCACTCTAAGGTCTCACGCCGTGCCCGCAGGCTGATTGGAAGGTCACTCGGAGCAAGGGGGCGGGGACAAGAGGAGACGTCGGGATCGACCGGAGGAAAGGGAGGGGGGCAGCCTAGGAATCTGGGGAGGACGGGAACCGTCAGCCTTTTGCGAAACCCATTTCTGAGATTGGGCAGAGCCACCTCCCGGTGAGAGCGACTCCGCAACCTTATGAAGGATTTCTCAACCTCCGCTCGCTGCGCTCCTCTATCTAGGCTTCCTGTTCCTCTTGCAACGCCTCCCCTCCTTTGCAAAAAAAGAAAACGAAGCGGAGGGAAGGTTCCTGCGCGCCTCCTTGCTTCATTGTTTGCTCTGCCTTCGCTCCCCCCCTCGGGTGACTCCATTGGTTCACGCGGCCGTCACTCTTAAGGTCTCACGCCGTGCCCACAGGCTGATTGGAAGGTCATTCGGAGCAAGGGGGCGGGGACAAGAGGAGAGGGGAAGCTCCCGGGTTAGCAGGCGAAGGTAGTGGAAAGGGCTTTAAAGAAAGCCGAGGTGGCGGGAAAGTGGTTTAAAGGCAGGTGAGTGTGTGTTTGGGGGGAGGCGGACTCTTGGGTTCTCTGGAAGCATCCTCCCCTAGGATGCTTCCTTCCAAAGCCGTTGGATTACAGCCCCTATCAACTGCTTGTTGGGGGATGGTGGGAGTTGTAGTCTTGACACGCCTTGCGGGCAACGCCAGGTTGGTGATCACTGGGAGGTTTTTATATTTATTTGGAATATTTAGAAGGATCAGTGCCGCGGGAGTTGGAGGAGAGTCTGCCGCACGGTTTACAGCACGGCCTTAAGCGGGTTTACCTGGAAATCAGGCCCTTTTTTTTGTATTGCCTGACTGAGGATTTTGAAGCTTGCTTCCGATTGTGTGTCAGTGCAATGCTAAACACGTCTACTTGGAAGTAGGTAGCATCTCAGGTAAAAGTGTGCAAACTTGCAGCTTCTGTATGAACTATGTAGAGGGCAATCCTATGAACAGTAGTTACCCTGGAATGACTGTTCTGTGAATCTTGCTTTACTCTCACCAAGGTTAACTGTGCTATAGGAATGCAGCCTGACCCTAAGAGGGCCGTTTTTTATAAAGGCAAGGGTAGGGGATGTGCTGCCCTTCAGACAGTTTGGACTACAACTCCTATCAGCCATAGATGTCATGGTTAGTGGTCAAGAATTATGGGACGTGCAGTCCAAGTATTTGGACTGCAACACTCATACAAATAACATATCTTTTGCTGGCCCAGTGGAAATCGTTACAAGGCATGTCATGGTTAGTGGTCAGGAATTATGGGACATGCAGTCCAAGTATTTGAAGGGCACCAAGTTACCAACCTCATGCCTAAGATATGGTTCCCTAAATTACTGATCTGAACACTCATACAATGACAACATTTTTGCTGGCCCAGTGGAAATCGTTACAAGGAAAAAATCTTTCATACATATGTAGCATATTAATTAAGAAAATGATATATACATTTCTTGAAAGAAATCCTATGTAGTGGAGTATGCCTTTTAAATAAATTGCATTTTATCATTTGAATTCCCTGATTTTTGTAGGTGGCAAGAATTTAACAGTAAATTTCAACCAGGATCAGCTCTGGGATGGAAGGTTTCTCTATCACAATAATATTTGTTGAACTGCCCTACAGGTGACTAAAGGCTTACTAGTGGAAAGCAAAAGTGATGCTATCAAAGTCTGTAGCGGTTGCAGTTTTACATTTTCCATTCTAACCTGGCATTAGCCACTGTGGTGTAGCAACCAGATTATTCTCCTAGAATTTGATAGATCCAGGCTCAAGGTGCTACTGACCTTTGCAACTCATTGGATAATAGCTAGACCCACAAGCATAGGGTTGTTGTGAGGATACGTGGGAAAGAGAGCCACTATTGCTGCTTTTTGCTCAGGAGGAGAAGTGGGGTACTACTCAGCGGGTGCTGACACTAGTGATCCTCTGGAGAGTGCTGAGTTCTGATCTCTAGCATATTTGTTTAGCCCAGGGGTCTCCAAACTTTTCAGTCTAGCATATTTATGTAGCCCAGGGGTCTCCAAACTTTTCAGTATGAGGGCCACATCATATATTTTACACATTTTCGAGGGCCGAAGGACGGAAGGGGGAGCCAAGCGATCCCCACCCCCACTGTCTTTGCAAAGATTGTGGGGGTGGGGGTGGTCGCTTGGGCCTTCCTTCCCTCTTCCTATGCCCCGGCCAGATAAAAAGGCAAGTTGGGCCAGATGTGGCCTGCGGGCCATAGTTTGGAGACCCCTGATTTAGCCAGTTCATAAGGATCACACCTGCTGATAGCAAGACTAGCAAAAAGCTACAGTATTGCCTTTTCATTTGTGCAAGGAGGATTAGGCATTGGATATTGAACTAATGACTGAATTTGAGGGCAAAATTGTCTTTTGGCAAATGGGTCGACTAATAAATGAAATGAAACAGCCAGATTAAACCCTGCTTTTCTTTCATAGTACTCCATGATTTACGTTATCCATTACAAATAGTACAACAATCAACATACATTACAAACCTAGCAGTTCAAATATATGTACATTTATGAACCACAGGCAGGCAGTGGCCTTCACCTCAGTAGAGCTATCAGGAGGGCTAAATTTCTCACTGCATCAAAGGCAAATGAATACCTATCATAATATATATTTGTGTTTTGTTCCTCTTTCAGCTTCTCAGGGAAGCACCAATACAAGGCCAGGCATGATTAAAATCCACATCTTGGAGGGAAAGGCACTTGTGTGGAATTACGCAGAAGCGCGGCGGATCCGGGAAGAGCATCACATTGTTGGCATGTTGGTTGGGGCGTTGGCTCGGAAACCTCGGCAGAACGTGCGGCTGGGTCTTCCTCTGCAGTTACTCCCGGAAGAAGCCCGGCTGCTGGTTGAAAAGGGTTTTGCAACTTTGCGTAAAAACCCAGTGTCCGAACCCTGTGGAGATGATGCAGGCCAGGTGATGACCTCTCAGAGTTTGTCTTCTTAAGGAGGAAAAGCCCTGTCTCCTGGAATAAAAATGGGGGATACATCCCAGAAAGTTTCAAAGTCTTTTTTTAAGCAGGAGTGGGGGAAGTGTAGCTCTCCAGTAGGATGATGGGACTTCAGTTCCCATCATCCTACTTAGAGAAGAGGCCATGGCTCTTTGGTGGCATGTCTCCTTCTAGGCAGAAAGTTGTCCCCAAGCTTCTCTTTCTTTTTCTTATTTGAACTTCACAAGATATGACATTGTGAACATCCTGATTTAATAGTCATTCTCCCATTCTGCGAAATATTTCCAGGAGGTAGCCTGAGAAATTGCCAACAGGTTTCTCGGCATCTGCATCAAATTGTGGTTTCCCAAGTGTGTTCCGAGCAGAGAATGGATCATAGCTAAAACGATTGCAGAATTGTTATAAACATATAGTGTAGAACAGCGGTCCCCAACCTTTTTGGGTCCGTAGACCGGCTGGGGGGAGCAAGCTCCATGTGTGTGGGGGGTGGGGGCACCCCCGTGCGAGCACAGGGGCGTGTCATGCTTGTGCAGGGGGCATGTTGTGCTCACGGCGGGCATGTCACATTCATGCAAGCATGATATGCCCACCACGGGCGCGACATGCCCAGGGTGGGCGTGACACCCCCCGTGAGCATGACATGCCCACCACATGGGGGGGCAGAGATCTGTATCCGTGGCCCAGTTCCAGCAAGCCCATGGACTGGCACCAGTCCATGGACGGGGGGTTGACAACCCCTGGTATAGAATACTCATACTCTTCCTTTTNGCCCATAAGGTCATGGACAGGCAGGTGTGTCTGCAGTTTTAAAATGCTTGTTGTTTTAAAAAAATGTGACTATAAAGATTCTAGATTTTGTATGCTAGTTCTCAGCTTACAGGGTATAATGCCCGTAAGGTCACGGACAGGCAGGTGTGTGTGCAGTTTTAAAATGCTTCTTGTTTTTAAAAAATGTGACTATAAAGATTCTAGATTTTGTATGCTAGTTCTCAGCTTACAGTTGTTTCTATGTAAGTGGCACCCTCTGAAATCTGTTCCATTTTGCTGCACGTATAGTTCAGTCCTGATTTGAACTGTAAATTGGATTATTCAAGAGTATGGAGGTGAGGAGGGGGGATGGTGTTGTGCTGAACACGGGTAGTGTTGAACACCTCTGTCTGTGTCTGCAGGACATCTCGGCCCTGCAGGACGTGGCTGCTTATCAGAAAGAACAAGAGGAAAGTTATCAGGAACAGCTTCGGCTTGCTGCTGAACAGAGGAAGACCATGCTGGATGCATTTGCTGAACGTATAGCTCAAGGCCGGGCAAAAAAGCGGCACGAGAAAGGAGGAGATGAAAGTGAGTGGCGCTGTTTACTGTGCAAGAAACACCACATTTGGCAAGGAAACCCCCAGAGGTTATGAGAACAGCTAAGCGCAGCCTTTCCCATCATGAATTAAAGATGATGTTGGATGACACCTACTACCATCCCTAGCCAGCATGGAGGATTACGGGTGTTGTAGTCCAACATCATTGGGGTGGATGCAGCTGTTCTTCTTCGTGGCCTCTGTGAATGCATACAAATGGATTGTTCTGTGCCTGCGCTGAATGTCTCGGAAGATTTTAGAGCTTAAAAGTACAAAGTTAGTGGGACGTTCCCCTGTGGAGCACATGCTAAGATTCCCCTCAGTTCCTTTTTCCGCTGTGCTGATTGGATCTCCAGAAGAATAGAGTGTGTTTCTGAGTGATTTTTAGTGACTATATTTCCTCTTCTAATCAACACCTAAATTGATACCTTCCTATTTTCCAATCGACGTTCCCCTGTCAGTTAGTTCTGTAAAGGTGGCATACCTCTGTAGCAATGGCTAGTTTTCCTGAGAAATGAAGCATATTGGATGTGTTCAAACTATGTTATGGGCTGTCATTGACTTATGGCGACTGTAATAGGGTTCTTGAGGTAAGGATGATATCTGTTGAATCCTGTTATTTACTAATCTGTCACTCTAGAAGTAGATTCAGAAAAGGAGTTTGTGCCATTCGTAACAGTGGCCCCGCCTGGTGATGGGTAGGTGACTATTTGTCTTCCATATCTCCTTGCCAGTTTCAGTGTAGGGAGACTAGGGTTTAAAAAATCTTTTGGATTGGTCAGTTTGTGGTGGCCCTGTGCTATGGGACAAAGGGAGGGCTGGTTCATCTGTGCAGTTCCAAGCCTTGAAGGACCACACACAACTGGACTCAGGGTTGCTCTCATCCATTCGCTTGCATCTGCACATTTCTTTTTGCTGTCTTGTGCAGTAGGGAACCCCCCCCCCTACAATTCCCAATATCCTCAGCCCTCACACTGGGACGCAGGTGGTTTACTTAGGTCCTTATGAGATGTCCCAAACAACATCTTCTTTCGCTTCCAGATCCTCCTGCAAAGCTTGCAGATTTGGAACCTAGTTTTGTGCTTCCTCAAGAATCCATGATGGTCCAGCTCCCAACGGAACGGGTCCACCCAGGCCGTGAAGAGGAAGTGGACTGGCGCGTGCCCTCTGAGGACTGGCCTTACGCTGGACAACCAGACCATGAGATGCGTTACTGCATTTTCCGGAACCTCTGGGAACAGGGCTTTTACATCACCAGTGGGAGCAAATTTGGGGGCGACTTCCTTGTTTATCCAGGTAGAGGCAGGTTTGGAGGGGTTTTTTGAGAATCACCAAAAAGGGAGATGGGTTGTCAGAGCGTGCCTTCCTCAGCGAGCCTCTTCAAGGGAAGAATGAAAAGTCAAAAGCTCCCCATGTGCAGCAAAGGCAAATTAAAAACAGCTGGAGAGCCATCATTCACTTTCATCCCTGCCCCAGGAGTGAGCTAAATTTGCATCGAAACAAGGTCTTCCCTGCCTATGACTCAAAGGGTGGGCAGCAGAAGAATTTATAGTGAAGAGGCAGGCCGAAGAAGGGTTGGCAGCTTGCCAACTCAGCCTAATTCCACATGCATGTGGAGAGAGAAGGATACAATATCAAAGGGATGGGACAAGAGACATGTTCCTTTTGAAACCCACCACCACCATCATTGGCATGTTTCCCTGGATAGATGAGGCTTCAGCCCTCGGGAGCAAAAAGGTTTTCCTTCTCCATCTTTAAAAGAAAGAAATGCCCATCTCGAGCACTGCTGTATCTCAGCCTTTTGCAGCTCACAGCCCACAAAGGTGGGTCTGAATAACTCCTCTCTGTCTGCTCCAGTGTCTTGTTGGGAAGACCTTTGCTAACGTATGAAATGGCCAAGGCAAAATTGCAGTCTTCAAGGAGGAGAAGGAAGCAGGAGTTTAAGAAAGAGATGGGCACTTTTCCCATGCCACCCTCCCAGCTAATATGTTAGGAGTTTAGTGGACATGCTGAGGATGATAGAAGCTATAGCTTAACCCCCAGACTGTGGAAGGGTGGCACTGGAAAATAATGTACTGTATCTGGTTTTAAAGAGAAATCCCATTTGCCTTGAAGATTTAATTTTTTATGCTTTGTGTGGATCACACAGTTGGATTTTCCATGGCCAGAGACTTATCCTGGATCATTCTACAGCCCTCCACATGTTGTGAAACTATGCCTATCAGTGTTTGCCTAGCCAGCATAGCAGATGCAGGGAACTGCAGTCCAACATGGGGAGGGGAGGTGGGATAATTTGCCTATCCTTATGCTGAAGGAGGCTGTCCCATGCTAACTTCTCCCTTCCACTCTTAACAGGTGACCCAATGCGGTTCCACGCCCATTACATTGCCCTCTGTGTTTCTAAAGATACACCCCTCGCCCTGAGTGACATCATCAGCATGGGACGCCTGGGCACTAATGTGAAGAAGACTGTTCTGCTTTGTTCAGTGGACCAGGATGGGGCTGCAGTCTATACATCTTTACAGTGGAGTGGGATGCAGTGACAACACACTAGCCTCTGCTGGCCGATGGAGGGAAAAGGAGGAATGGCAAGGAGCTGCCAGTGTTGGGTGGTACTACTGGTTATGCTCTCCATTTCTGGCTCTCATCATCATCACAATGGTATGAACAGAGATATGCAGAAGTGTAGCCCTTCATGTGTACTTGGGTTACAAGTCCTGGTATCTCTCACTATGTCTTCTTTTGGCTACAGCTGATGAGTTTTGCAAGCCAATATCTGGATGGGTTCCCAGACCTAGTGTCAGTGATTGCTGATGTGTAATGGGTCTTGTAAGAGTGGTACAGTAGCCTTCCTTGTTCAGGGATGAAGGGAATAATAGGCAGCTGATGGGCAGGGGGAAACTGCTTGAGCAGAGTTTGGACACACTTCTGCAGCAGCACAAATTATTTTTTTTTCATCTTGTCTTGAACTGTGTGTGTTGGTGCCTCTTCAGGACAAACGGAAACAAAGGGATCATGATATTCAAAGAGAGGGTATCCAAGGGATGTGGAACTGAAAGAGGTGTGGGGTGTGTGATGTTCATCAGCATGATTTAATTTTAACATATAAAACCACTCGTGGGGAAGCTCCCTTTAAAAAATAAAAAAGATACATTCCTTAAATCAGATTAGCTCATCTGGTGAAACCCTGTCCCCAGATTTCTGAGTTGTGGCAAAACCAGCAGACTAAGAGTGCTCTATCCACTGTGCAGATACAAAATAAGAATAGTCAGGAGCAGAATTGATTAGAGAATTTTTAAAAATAAAATAATTTACATTTAGTGGAACATATACTTCTTTGCAAACTCTTCATCTTCCAAAAGGGCTAGGTTCCACTTCCACTGAAGCATCAGAGGCAGGACCTAACAGTTTCATAAATTATACCAAACGGTTGGTTCAAGTCCTAATCTCTAGCAGGGGAAACAGTGCCTTTCAGCTGTTAAGACAACAGTTCCCAGCAGCCATCCTGAAAGGGGCCGATGGGAGTTACAATACCACATGTGGAAAGACGCACCTTCCCCATTTTCTAACTCTGCCCCTGCACAGCAGAATAACAGTGCTTGACCGAGGGCTGAGTCATCCACATTGCTCACAGGAATTAAGAAAGAACTCTATGAAATTAGTGTAGATAAGAGGTTTTTCAGATCATTGTCATCCATTAATTGGAGAAGAGGAAAGGGGGGATAACCTCATCAAGAGACTGCACAGCTTAGTCTGGGGCGAGTTATACAGACTTGTACTCCCAAAGTAGAAATAATTACTTCATTTAGATCAGAAGGTCTTTGGAAGGAGAAGAAGCAGTCCACTTGAAGGAGGCAACTGTGAACAGGAGGTTATAGGCTGCCCCAGCAGAAAGCTGAGAGGACTTCGGGACAGCAGCCATCTTGGCAGCTTTCTCCTCAGACACTGATGGTTCGAAAGATGTTGAAACCAGACAAAGCTGTGGTGATGAGGGTGCCAGGGCACTGTGGGTGCCAATGCAGTTCCTTAATGTCACTCTCTCCTTGGTGAATAAACAGTAGTTGGGGTGGGATGGAGGCCAAAGCTGGATCTTCGGCCTCACTTGCCCCGTCGCGCTCGACTGCCAGGTCCCATTGAGTCACCTGGTCGTCTGCCCCAGAGGCTGCAAACACGCCACTGTCGGTAGGGTGCCATTCAACGGATGTGATGGGCGCCGTGTGCTGCTTGAAGGTGGCCACAGCTAAGCCCTTCTACAGAGAGACAAGACAAGTATGGTTGAGTGCAGGGTGAATCCCTTGCAGTCCTCCCCCCTTTTAAAAATGTTGCCCTGTTGGGGGTATGGGGATAATTTTGCCACATTTTGTCAGGCTCCTCAAAAACCCATTTTAAAACATTTGGCCATCATAAGGTGTTAAGAGTTAACCTCCCCCCTTTTAGGAGGGCTGTGCAGCTTGGACTACACCACCCAGAATTCCCAAGGCAACCCATAATTGCTGGGGAATTCTGGTATTCGTAGTCCAAAAGCATCTACACACTTCTCTACCTTTTCATTAATCCCATTTTTTCAGTTAAAAAACACTAGGCATTGGATTTTCAGAATTCACAGACCACAATCCCCAGACATCTGCAGGAATTCAGGATTTTCTGCACAAGAAAGCTCTCAATAATTTTTATACTCATAATCCCCTGCAGTTCCCATAGAGATCATCTCCACCTGCCTATTTTTCTTCTCTACAGGATGAAAATAGTACCAGAGTCTGAATTGATTGTAGTACAGTCGTATAACGACGAATCTGCTTCATGACAATGTTTTTGCCTGAATTGATTGTAGTACAGTTGTGACCCAATTAACGATAATCCCGCATAACGACAAATCCGCTTCACGACAATGTTTTTGCGATCGCAAAATGATGTTTTAATGGGTTTTTTTTTGCTTTGTGATGATTGGTTCCCTGCTTCGGGAACCAATTCTTCGCATTACGACGATCAAAACAGCTGATCATCGGGTTTTCAAAATGGCTCCCCGCTGTTTTTAGGAGGTATTTTTTGCTTAACAGGCACCCGAAAATGGCCGCTGTATGGAGGATCTTTGCTGGACGAGCAGGTATTCAGCCCACTGGAATGCACTGAACAGTTTTCAATGCATTTCAATGGGCTTTTTTATTTCGCTTGACAACGTTTTTGCTCTACAGCGATTTTGCTGGAACGAATTAACGTCGTCAAGCGAGGCACCACTGTACTTTAAAACCTTGAAAACACCTGTCTGGATGTCCATTTCTTGATCCAAGCCCACAGAAGTCTGGCTGGAGTAATTCCTGCATACTTCTTCAGGCTGTAGTGCATGAATTCCAAAAAATCCCATGCCTAACAAATATCCACTGTAGCAACTTCTATGATGCATAAACACTGAATTTAATTTTTTTTTAAAAAAATTAGGATGCAAATTTACCTCTTTAGCTATGTCCTTGGGAGTGTGGCCCTCAGGTTGCTGGCAAATTTTAAAACTGTCCACAATCTGACTGAGAGCGTCTACCTCTGGCTGAGTGCAAGTCACTACTTGTGTTGGTGAAACATGGAAGTCTGTCTGATTGTGAGGGCCATGACTTATGAAAAAGCTAGTCCATGGAAACCTTAGGTTTTTCGACAATTCCAGTAGTTACCAGCCTGCATGCAATGTTGGTTGGGAGATTTTGGGAACTGTATTTTTTTTAAAGTAAATAATTACAAACTCTAGAAGAACCTCTACAGTAGGACCCCTGCATTCATGGGAGATTGGTTCCAAATCTTCCCCTTGCAGAGATACTGAAAAACATGGGAACCTCAATAGTAGGACCCCTGTATTCATGGGAGATTGGTTCCAAGTTTTCCCCTTGCAGAGATACTGAAAAACATGGATTGTGGTGAACAGTATAATGGCAAACGTTATACAGAGCATGGTCTGTCACTCTTTCTCGTGGCCAGTTCTGGTAACTTCCTTGTTAGAAACATTTGTGGGATTTTAATATTTTCAGACTGTGGATCAGTGAATCAGTGCATACTGATCCTGACGGGTAAGGGGGTCCTACTGTAGAATGGAAGAGAAGGTAGATTCTGTTTATATATTTGGCAGTAAGAAGCCATGATCTAACCTGGAATTGCCGCAGGTCCCAGATCTTTAGGGCTCCATCATCGCCACCACTAACAATGAAGGGCTCGTTCCGGTTCCAGCTGATAACATTGACATCTGCATCGTGTGCCTGGTTGGTAGTAAGCATGCAAGCTTTTCCAGGTGCTGCCCGTATATCCCAGATCCGAATGGAAGCATCCGCTGAACAAGAAGCAAAAACCTGAACGGAGAAAATAACAGTTTGTTATTCAAAACATGGTGATAACCCTTCTGTTAGACTTTAGTATACTTGTATAGATTCACCTTATTACCACACCTTATCACCATACACTCTCTGCTCCCATAAACTAGTATCAGAATTCAGGCTCTATGGTTCCGAATGAGATCTGTTATCTAGGCAGTCAAAATCTGTACTCAGAATAACACGATACAGAACAACACTTATGTGGACTGATTTCTTTGAAACAGAGTCACTACACATTTCATTACAGGTCCTTGCAAAATACATGTTTTTCTCAGCCAGAATCGGTAGGACAGAAGTACAAAAAGCAAACGAAGAACCACTGAACTCAAAAGACAGAAACAGATAACCCTGATTTTGTAGGTAGTTATCTCCTAACTATATAAGAATTGGACCAGTTGACAAATATTTTAGGCCATGTTTACCATGAATTCTTTTCAATGAACACCAGAAACTTGGGTTTGGGGGAAAAAAACCTACAGAATAACAAAAGCAATAGTACAAATAAACTGTCCAAAATGAGCAAGGACCCACAGAGCTGGCACAGGCCAAACTAAACTGTGCTCAATTTAAACTCCTAGCTTACAGATGCTGGAGATTCCTTAAGAAGAACATTCTGATTTAACTCTGCCAGCCTTGTGGCTCTTGGCAGGAGGTTTGGAGTTAGATGAATTGCTTAGCCTCTTTTGCCCCACTCTTCTCTCCACCTCTTTTTGGGTCTTTCTTCCAGGAAATCTCTGGCATCACCTGGCAGATTTCTGCTGGCAGAAGAGGCTGGTAGATAATCCCAAATCCCACCAGACAGTGCATCTTTCACTCCAAATAAGTAGGACTGCAGGATGGGCCTTGCCTTTTAATCACAAATTAGTCCCAATGTGTTCCATACTGTTAACACCCAGGTAAGTACAGTATGTATGGGATTGTTGCAAGCCCAAATAAATTATTTTTTTTTCTCTATTGTGACTAATCAGTCTTCCAGTTAAACGGGTTCATCCCCCATCTGTCTCTCAATTAGAACTTCCAGGAGTACCCTGAATAATTTATTTGACTGATGCTGATTCCTTTGGCACAGCAACTTTATGGAAACAAGATAGGGCAAGGATGTTGTAAAAATACGTCCATTATGGGAAAAAAAGTTATTCTATTTATTGCAAGCAAGAGCGCATTTTGGGGTGAGGGTTGATACAAATAAGTCTTTCTGTGTAGTGATTTAAATCAATTTGATTAGAATCAAATCCGACATAGCATCCAGCTGGCTGCAACTCACCGTAGCTTCATTCGGGGACCACTGCAGGTCTTCCACAGATGCAGTGTGGGCTGTAAAAGGCCGCTGGTCTACAAACCATGAGCCATCCTCCTTGGGTGTCCACAAATGAATATTTTTGTTGCAGTCGCCTGTCAGAAGAGTACCTGGAAAAGATGAGATGCAAAATATATTGAACTATAGACCATACAGTCTGGCTCCTTTATTTACTTTGCCCCCTGTTCATGCCAGAAATGTGTCTTTCCCTCCCAGGAGATCACCTGGTTTCTTAGGGGACCAGTCCATAGCAAACCCCTCTGTCATATGCCCTGAGAATGAGAAGATGGGTTTAATCTTGGCCTGCTCCTCTCGTAGAAAAACTGCCATGGCTTGTGAGTCGGACACAGCTGCTAGGGGGCGCCGTAGATCATAGATGCTCACTTGCCCCTTCTCAGACCAAACCGCGACGATCGGTGATTCATTGAGCTCTGTCACCTACCATGGTGAAAAAAAAGGACACGAGGGACAATTAATGTGAAGAATTTTAACACAGGGAGCAAAAAGATCAAATGTGGCTCTGAAAAGATACTTGCTCAAAGCCTCACTTGGTCATGAAACTCACTGGGTACCCTCACAGGTTTGTTGTGAGGAGAAAACAGGGGAAGATGACAAGGGACCTGAGCTCCTCAACAGGAAAATGGGGCATTAATGTAACATAAATAACAAGATACCCGAACTCTGTTAATGCCCCCATAGTGGGGAACCATAGCCAGTTCCAGCTGGGGTTTCTTCTCTTCGTCATCTTCATCATCTTCACTGTCGCTGCTGCTTTCCGATTCCAAAGAATCCTTGTCACCTTGTTTGGTCCCATGGAGATTGTGCATCTTCATCACCATGAGCCTGTGGAGTTGGCAGAAGAGGAAGATTATTAAAAGGTGAGTCGGATGGGGTCTTATAGACTCTCACACCAATTTCGACACGGGATTATTATCAATATGCTGCAAGCCAGCCTTACTGCACACGCTCACCTATTGGCCTGGGCGCTTTCAGCCTGAGTCCCAGCACAGAGAAGGAGGGAGAGTGGATAGGTGGTTTGATTCTCTCCGAGGGCATCTCGCAAAATATCAAAGCTCAAGCAAGGAGCACCTGTGGTGTGGCAGTAAGAGAAGATGGGGTATTACCATTCACCTCTGAGACAACAGTCTCTAAATTAGCCCTATATTGGCCTCCATACTAAACTTTTTACTTTTACTTTACTTTTATTTGATTTTTACCCCATCCCCCTAGACAAAGTCTACTCGGGGTAGCGTACATACATAAAACATAGCAAACAACATCTTAAAAACATTTAAAACATCAAAAATTTTTTAACTATTACATAAATCCTTGCCAAGATGGAAAAGTTAAATAAAAAGTAAAGGTCAGTTTAATTGACTGGAGGGAAAGCCTGCCTGAAAAGCCATGTTTTCAAATGGTTTTTAAAAACATCCAGCAAGGGTGCCAGACGAATTTCTGTCGGGTGGCTGTTCCAGAGCCAAGGGGCCAATGCCGAGAAGGCCCGGTTTCTTGTTCTTTCTTTCCAGGCCTCTCTCGGCGTTAGGCCCCTCAGCCGTCCCTGCTGGCTATGTCGGGTGATTCGGGTAGAACTAGGTGGGAAAAGACGCTCTGCCAGATCTCGAGGTCCCAAACTGTTTAGGGCTTTATACGTCATCATTAGTACTTTGAAGTCAATGCGGAAACAAATGGGCAGCCAATGCAGAGCAGCCAGAGTGGGGGAGATATGCTGATATTTCCTCACCCCACTAAGGAGCGTGGCTGCCACATTCTGAACCATTAGAAGTTTCCACATCAACCTCAAAAGCAGCCCCACGTAGAGAGCATTACAATGGTCTAATCTCGAGATTATGAGTGCATGGACTAGAGTGGTGAGAGCCCACCCATCAAGATACGGTCTCAGCTGGGCAATCCGCCATAGATGGAAGTAGGCGGAGTGGGCCACGGATGCCACCTGGGTTTCCCTGGTAAGCGCCGGGTCCAGATGTATCCCCAAGCTGCGAACTTCACTCTTTGCGGCAAGGGTCGTCCCCCCAAAACAGTAATAGCAATTTTGATACCTCTTAAATTGGTGAGTTCCTCCTATAAAATGTTGGGATCTACTAAACTACAAATGCTAGGATTCCATATGATATTGCCATGGAAACAAAACTACAGCATCAGCATCAAACCATTATAAATGCATATACTGTAGTATTATAGACACACACACTGACCACAAGCATGATATTGACTTTTATCCTATTTTGCTTAAAAACATACCTTATTCGCACCACATACAAACAATCAGATGGATCCTACCATGTACAGATACAGAGTACAGTATATGACTGGGTGCAAAGAATCCTACTGTGTGGTACTATAACTCACTCACTCACTCACTCAATCAAGCATATCTCTCTGCTCGTGGTGGGGTATTCACAACAGCTGACAGTGGTAAGAACCCTCACTATGACCAAGTCAGATGCATAGTCTTCTTCCAAATTTTGTTGCATGCCTGCAGGTGCTCTAGAGAAGCCCCTGAAACATCAACCAGAAATAGGCTCTGATGAGGGCCTTCTCATCAGTGGCACCCTCTTTGTGGAATGCCATCTCTCTGCACTTTTAAGAATCTCCTCCCCACCTCCCCAGTAAAGGAGATAGAGAAGGAAGAACACCGAACGAGGAAATTTTTACTTTGTGCTATCTTGTCAGAGTCCATTAGTGTCTTTTGTAGTTGATTTTATAATACACATTCATTATATTTTGTTGTACACTGCCTGGAGTAACAATTTCATAGATGGGTGGTATAAAAATCAATCAATCACACGAATAAATAAATGAAAGAATAAAAATGTTCAGTGTCGATTTTGCATCTTTATGCAATCACAACTCTATAGACATAGATTGAGGGATAAGGGGCCACTGATTTTTTTCAAGTGAACATTAGCACACACTCTTGTTCCCTTTGGAGCTTAGTTTAAGCATGTTAAATATTCCCTTCCCCTGAAACTTAAGTGGGAATCCTCCCATCATGCCTGTGGCTAATGAGGTTCTAAACCAACTTTTCCCCAAACAGGAGGGGGTCACCTTATAACTCCCATAGTGCATGCCCACACAACTGAATATGATGGTACTTGTAATTCAATAAGTCACCAGAGTGGGGAAGGCTGTTTTATCCAAGTAGAGAGTAATATGTGGCTGTCCAGATGTTGAGCCACAGCTTCCACGAGCCCTTGCCAACAGAGCCAATGGTGAAAGATAACGGAGATCGTGGACTCGGGAGAGTCGTGGTTCTACATCCGAGTTCCACACCTTTAGCAACGAATTCATCCTTGTGAATCCAAGCTTTATGGGAACCGTCCCCGAATCCTGATTTACATGCATGCAGCCAAATCCAAGCCAATGCACCCATTAAGTCTTGCATTTTTGGTGGGCTTTCTCTAACCTACTCCAACCCAAAACAGTCTCCAGAAGGATCCCAAAATTCTTTCTCACCTGTACCCGCCCGATGGTAGAGCCGATAGGCGCCTTCATCCATGACCAATTCTTCTCCAGGCGCTGGAGGGGGACCCTTCCCTGGAACGTAGGTTCCCCCTCGAGCCTTCACCTGCTCCTTCTTTTCCTCTTGCCCTTCTTCCCCCACTTCCATATCGGCTGCCTCCTCATCACAACTGCTAGAACTACTGCTACTACCCACGTCCCATGTGCTTGAGTCCTCCATCTTACTAAGGGGCACAAGCCACGCATGCTCTGGCTTCAGCAGCCCTCACTTCCGGCTATGTCTCTTTGAACTGGACACTGAATATAGAGATACTAATTGTAGAGTAGCAGAGGCCGCAACAAGTTCTGGTTTTCAAGGAACAGGGATAGTTAAGGAAGGGGACTGTTTGAAGGTGGATGTGGTATGAGGCATATCTTTCCTCGGTAGCGCTCTGATTTTGACGATGGGAAGAAGTTTTAGGGGAAATACTGTATGCAGGGGTGCGATTTTTTTTGATATTTTCAAAATATTCAAAAAGGAAGAGTGAGACATAATTTCCACTACATAATTTTAACAGTACATTAAAAAGCTAGAGTCCTCTGAAGATGCTGGCCACAGAGACGTCAGGAAGAACAACCTACAGAACACAGCCAAAGAGCCCGAAAAACCCACAACAACCAAAAAGCTAGCTTCTTGGGCAAAAAGTTGGCTATAGTATTAGATGTTTTCCTATTTACTTTGTAAGAGTGGACTACCTTGTAGGGCTGTCAAAAACGTCACACTCTCAGCCTACCACATTATCTACGGAGTTCCGTTTGCAGGGCTGCTGTAAACCACCATATTTTTAGTTACGCCCCTCACCGCCTCCGCTCCCGCACTATGAGGCAATAGATAAACTGATAATATTGGTCGATGTGATGCAAAATTTAAAACCTTTTCTCAACGCAGTCTTTTGAGGCTGGAGAGACCTTTCGGCTAGTGCCAGCTCCCCTAAACACCTGGATTTCTCTTGTTTTCCGTAGCCAGTTGCTACAGTATTTGCGCCCTGTAGTGGGAAAACGCGGGGCGAGCATTGCCAAAACAAAAAACGGGCGGATTTCTCTGAGTGTTGGAAATATCACTCTTCTTGTTGTAAATCTACGACTCGTAAAAGGAGACGCCATTTTAGAGACGGGAAAAAGAAACATGTAACCATACTGGAAAAGGTCAGTGTTCCTCAATCCGACTTCTGCCATCGCTAAGTCGATGGTCGCATTGCCAAAACAAAAAACGGGCGGGTTTCTCTGAGTGTTGGAAGTATCACTCTTATTGTTGTAAATCTACGACTTGTAAAGGGAGACGCCATTTTAGAGAAGGGAAAAAACATGTAACCCGACTTCTGCCATCGCTAAGTCGATGGTCAGACAAAAGCAATGGTTAATGGTGAAAGTCTTCCCTTCATATCATGAAATAAAATTAGAGCCTTTTGCTTAAGAAGGTTTTAGAACTTATGTGGCATACTTTCAAAGTGTAGCAAGAACTCCCATCTTTGTTAAGGGAAAGCATCATTCGACGAACAACTGCCATTTTAAAAGACGACGCTGAAGACCCTACTTAGGAGGAAAATCGACGGCAATGATTAAACTGTTCAGTCCTTCCGTCTTTGAAAACTGCCGGTGCCATTTTGAATGTGGGCAGATGTGCCCGCGGCCATTTTGAGACGCGTTGACTTCGGATGACCGCCATCTTGAAAGAGGGCAGCCGGTTGTAATTAAATAAAAGTCAAAGAAGTCGGTTTTTGAGGATCTTCTTGTGTAGTCCTCGAAAGGGTAATTTTTGTTGTGGTCTAAGAAATCAATCGACATATTGGAGAAGGGCGCATATCGCCGGTCTGGAAGCTAGCAGTCCCAGGAACCATAAAGTGGTATCCTGAACCGCCATTTCAACAAAGGGCAGAGGGATCTATTGCTATGGCAACCGAGCATTCAGGGGAGCCATATTGATTTCACCTTCAATTTGCCTTAAAAGCGCTGCTAAAAGCCTTCTCCGTGGTATCTGTCACTAAACTGCATGTCTTTTTCATAAACCCAGACGATCTGATTATTGTCTGTAAACTTTTGCATTATACCACTATCTTATCATCGTGGTGCTACAGAGATTCATACTCCTCTTTAAACGAATTCAGTATCTGGTTAAAAACATAGGCATGCAAAAACATTCACAGCAGAATGAGGTTCCAGATAATAAGATTATAAGGTAATGCAAAGTAAATAAGAATAAAATAAAAATAAATAAATCATTAAATGATGACTAGCTTATCTGGGGACTTTCAATTTGAAATAGGAAAGCACAGGTATCAGTAGAAGGGGTTTAAATATTTTTTCCCTACAAGGACATTACTCAGGTTGTTTTTAACACTAAGTCTCGGCCCTGGTGAGAGATATTTGCCAAGATATTGCATCCCTAAGGACGTAGGGAGTGTGTGAGTTGCTATGACACTTGCCATCATGTTGCATCTATCTGACTTAGGATTCCCTAATAGGGTTTTAAAGGCAAGTTAGATATTTAAGGACTATTTTTACCAATACTGCCTATCAGTAGGTTTCCATGATCAAGTGGTGATTTGATTCCAGGCCTCCTGAGTCCTGATCTTTCAGTCTATGACAACATGACACTGGACTAATAAATCACAGTTGTTTCCTGGACATTTAGATTTGAGGGCAAAGGTTCTCAACAGCTCTGAACCCCTGCCACAGTTGGGGAAACAGCATACTGTGCCAAACAAAAACACTATACAGTACTTGCCCCTGTTTCCACCATTTGAAACAAACTCAATAAAGAAAGTCAGGATCAGCTGATGTTATATTTTTTTCCCATGACAGCTTATTTTAGCTGGAATCTTATACATATTTCACTTCCCCGGGAGCTTATTGTGCTCAATAACTGAAAATTTCAGAAGACATTAGGAGTGTGCTATTAGAACCTAAATACATATTTCTCCCCTCTTTTTTTCTCATGTAGAAGTCCATCCACAGAACTTCAGCAAGGAGATAAAGAAGAAATTTTACTTGCAAGAAGAAGAATTTGAGGTACTCTTCTCTGGTGAGTTATGAACTAGAAACCTAATAAGAACCTACAGTCTATTGTGGCTGTGTAGGGAGGTTATAAGACTATTGATGGTAAAGCTATGTCAAGTGTCTATTCAAGAATGGTGGCCAAACTCTTGAGCAGGCATAGTATGCATGGGGTATTATGTTATTTTCCCATTCCTCTAATATTTTAGACATGAAGACAAGAGATCCACTTGCTGTATCCTAGTCCTGGACCTGATTCTTCTACTGCTAGAACATTGCTGAAGGCACTACAAGCCTAAGTGTACAATTTCTTACCAACTCAAGTCAGAAGTGACACATTCCATTTTGTAAAATAAACTACCAGAACAACTTATGTTGTTCAGAATAGTTCCAGAAAAGTCCCTAGACTGCAAAAATAGACCCTGTGATTATACACATGATGGGAACAACATAACCTAGTCTTCTACTTAACTTTTGCAAAACTTGTTTGCTAACTCACCTCAGTGATGTTTCTGTAGCATTTGTGGGCTTTAGGTGAAAGGTACCAAGTAATTGGATCCAGACTTATTTAGGCTTAGAGTTTTTGTTGTTATGTCACTTCCCTAATAGAGTTTTCAAGGTTTGTGAGATATTCAAGGAATGGTTATCCATTGCCTGCGCTCTCTCTCTTGCACACACACCTGAGTTTCCATGATTGATTAGGGGTTTGAACCTGGATATCTTGAGTCCTAGTCCAGCACGCTGTTCACCACACTAACCCATGGGCTTAGAACAGACCTCCAGAAATTCAGTTTTGATAGGTCTTTAAATGTGATTAAACCTAATGTTAAGCTCCAACAGAGTACTTCTGCTAAATCCCACTGCTTCTACCAACAACAGTGATTCATACAGTTACCAACAAACCCTAAAAGCCTGCGTCAGAAGGGTGGGAAAACCCTGGAGCAGGCTTTCAGCACTGTGTTAGGTTTCTGTTCTGCTGGCACTGAATTCTGTAATTGGATCTTTGCTCAAGGTCTTAATTTGGATGTAGATCACAAGAATTGTAATAAAGGCTGGCTCTTGCTGTAATACTTTGTACCCCAATGGTTTCTCTTCCATTATTAGACCAACACCAAGGTGGGCAACTTGTGGCTTTCCAGATGCCGTTGGACTGCAGCTCCCATCATCCTTCTCCATTGGCTATCTTGGCTTAAACTAATGGGAAGTACTTTCCAATAACATCTGGAGGGCCATAGGTTGCTCACCCCTCAGCTAAGGTCTCTCAGCTGCATTATGCATAATATATTAGGCAATCTTGAGAAATAATTAGATACAAGCTTGCTAAAAAGAATTTGTAGCATTTTTTAGAATATCTTCTTTCCAAAACTTGGCAGATACAGAAGATATTTTAATATTTTCACCCTGGGAAACCACTTTCCCACAACATCAGCCCCTTGTTTCATAACAAGGTTCCATTATAGCTGAATATTTAGCACCATGGAGACCTTTCCTGCCTTGGCCTTCCACCCAGCATTCCTGCCCTCCTGGTTTTGTTCTGGAGATCACAGCCATCCCTATTCCTTACGCGCCTCAGCCCTGCAGGCTGCCATCTATTCTCAGCAGGATCATAAATTGCTAACAAGCGTGTCTCGAAGCCTGCCGGCTGCCACAGCTCAGCCAGAAACTTGCCCTGTGCAGTCGAGCGGGAGGGTTGCATCCCATAATGTGACAAGGCAGATTCTGATGGCGGCCAGCTGAAGCTGGCTGCTGGTGGCAGCAACCATCTGATAGTGTGATTCTATGCCAGTATTGAACAGGCAGGAAGGAGAACAACAGCTGGAAAAGAAGGATGAGTTCAAAAGTTTCAATAGGGGGCACTACTGAGGAAGTAAAACAAGAGGTTGTGGTAAAAGACTCTTGTCTTTTGAGGAATGACAGATTTTGCTCCAGATTTGTTGGAACATATGGTGCTGTTCTAACAGGCTGACATGTGGTGACAGCTTCTAGAGTACCAGTAATGTCATTTTGTTACTTTATTTTATATTAGCAAAAGTACTTCTCGCGGATTGGAATGCTTCTTAGATTGGTACACCAAAGTATTCTAGCAATGTTATGCAGGTATCCACCTTGTCTGAGCAAGGTAATGATCTTGGGATTTGTAGGCTTGTTGCCCTTGAGGGAAGGAGGGACTTGAGAAATTCCTGTCCTTTTCAAGGGGGGTATTTCATGGCATTGGAAAGATGTTAGCTCTGTCCCTCTGGTTACTTCCCAGTGGCTTCCCACTGTATTTACTACGAATGTATGCATTGGTTGGGGAAGTCTGCCACCTAGTGACTCAAGGTGGTACCATAGACTTCAGATGCAGTTCTACAGGTATTAAAATTAATTAGTTTATTTTAAAAACCAAATAACTCCTCAGATATCCATCCCTAGGGCCCCCTTAGTTTCAGATACTGTATCTAGGTTTCATGGTCTTGGATCTTGGCCACGACAGGCCGATAGATATACACTCTTTTTCATTCTGATGGACAATGTCAGTGTTTATCGTATTTGCATTTTCTCTTTTGTGCTGTCTCTGAGAGCAGAGGTAATGCTGTTCCCGATGGGTGGGATATCATATAGCTGAACAGTTACAAAGTCTGGAACTCTTGCTACCTTTTATCTTTCCTTTGGAAAACTTCCAGGGCTTTTAGCAGTTTTCTGTGAGTGAGGATTCAACAGCTTTCCTCAGGATAGATGTGCTGATGAGGAACCGAACTTCCTGTCAAAAGAATCTCTTTTTCTCTCCTTAAGAATGTGGAAGATCTGTCAATGCAGATGTGACAAGATTCAACTTGTTTGATTCATAACAGCCTGGTGCAGAAGCAAAGAGGAGAAGGCAGGCATAGCGAGAGACAGCTATTTCTCTTTGCTAAGTTTTCTCCCAGTTGTTAAAGACCTGTACAGATATTTGGGCAGAATGATTTGCCTTTCCATTTTGAGTTTTACCTCATAGCTCAGCTCTCTCAGCTTTCTTCCTCTGTCATGTTTAATGCCTATAACATCTTTCAGTGTAGGATGAGATTTTTCAAGTCGTTGTGTCATAACAACAACCCTGTGAAGCCAAGTTGTTAGACTGAGAGGCAACATATTTCCCAAGGTCACACAGCACGCTTCATGGCAAAGAAGAGATTTGAAAAAAATACCTCCCACCCAAGGCAAGCAGTCATTCCTGAAGAGCAATGTATGCTTACAACGTATTTCCCAAGGTCACACAGCACGCTTAGTAGCAAAGAAGAGATTTGAAAAAATATCTCCCACCCAAGGCAGGCAGTCATTCCTGAAGAGCAATGTATGCTTGCATGTGTGTGCATGAGTAATAGAGGAAGTGATTTTCCTCTTAAAGGGATCCTGATGTTAGTCCCAATTTGATTGCTGCATAAATGTGTTAAATGTTTCCAACCCTGCAGACCAGGCCTGGATAGAGATTTCTGAATCCTCCTCATATGAACTGCACTCAGTTCCCACCCTGGATTTCAAGTCTGTTTCCCCCCCCCCCGACCCCTGAGTTATAAACAGTGCGCTTCTCATTTGTGCTTTGGTTCTCTAGGGAACTGCATCTGCGCCTGACTCAGATTTGGAGTCCTTTGAAGTATGTGAATGTTAGGTAAAGAACTGGTGTCTCCACCGAGTCGGTACTCTAAAGCTCACCGCTTACCTTCCTGATCACACAGAACTTTGTGCCCAATTAGGGTAAACCACAAAAGAGTTTTGTTTAGAAAAAGAACCAGAAATTGGGTGTTTTAAGAGGAGTACAAAGCAAATGTGCAGAGCAGAACAAAATATGTGTCCAGTTTCTGGTTTGGAATTCTCTTACAATAAACCCTTACAATTAGGGTTTTATTGGCCAGCTCTCACAAGCCCCCCCCTGAAGTATTTATCGAAGGCACCCTATAATATGTTTGGGTTACGTGCAGTGGTGGTCCCTCAAACATGGACATCTCCAGGTGTGTTTGGACCATATCTCCCATCATCCGCAGCCACCCTGTAGACAGGGTGATGTGATAGTTGTAGTCCAAACAACATCTTGGACAGAGTTTCAAAAAAGTTACTTGTTGGGCTACAACTTTAGGAATCCTCTAGCCAGTGGCCATGATGGCTGGCAAATTCTGGGTATTGTAATTCAGAAAGTTACTTTTCTAAGCTCTGATGTTGGTGGATGGGGGATTGCAAGCCACTATGGTTTCCCCTTGGGTCTACTGGACCGTATCTTCCTTTACTGAGGGAAGGTCCTTGGTATCTTAGGCAGCAGAGTTGGAAAAGGGCCTCTCCATGGATGTTAGGAAGGTTACTGGCAGGAATACAGATAATACAGAGTGATGTAGGACACCTCCCTGATCCAGCAGAAGGCAAGTCTAGTTGCTAGCTTAAATATTAAGAGCCTACTGCAACTGGAGCAAAACCTGATGTCTTTCTAATGTGTTGAACTGTCTAACTCCTGTCATTGTCATTGACTTGGTCACAGCGGTGATGAGATTATAGCCGAATGCATCTCAAGGTGCTGGGTCAGAGCAGGTTAGTTTCACTTGAGCACCAGAAACTGCTTTGTAGTAGTTCAGACTTTTGATCCATTTGTTTGTCCTAAATATTCTCTGCTGTAGCTGGCAGTGATCTTCCAAAATTATTGGGTGGAGTTCTGACAAGGCATGCACTCTCTGCAAAGTTAAGGATCCCTTACAAAAAATCTGACCCCTCTGGAGTTGGCCACAAGGTCTTCATTTTTGTCTCTTGCCTATTCTGTTTAATTTGCTCAATCAAGCAGCACCCCTCATTCTGCCAAAGGGCAAACATATCATATACCTTGGTCAGTTCCCGGGATGTAGGCCAGAGGATAACTTCATCCTTATTGTTCAGGTGCAGGCTTCTTGCTCACCTGAGTTGACAGGGAAAGGTATCAATTAAAGAGAGAGGACCAGATCCATCCAACTGCTTGAACAGTCAGAGGTAACTGAGATATTGTGGAAGCCTGGTGGTTACTGCACCAAACAAGCACAGTGCTCATTTATAATTTTTTTTTTTAAAAGTGCACTCGTTTCTACAATCTGTTCTATGCAAACAGGAGGCTATCTGGGTTCCTCTCAAGATCTCTCTTCCAGCATCATACTCTCATTTGCCTTGAAGTGGTTGATGAGAGTTGAAACTATGAGGACAAGAATGAACATTTGAGGCTGCACTACAGGCTATATCCACGAGGTGGCACTCCGATTTCACAACCATAAACATAGCTGAGAGTGCTTTGAACTCACAGCCCTGCGTGCATGCTGCATCCGTGGCGGCTGGCTGCTTGAAACCTCTGCAGAGCCACTGTGTTGAGGACAAAAGTCCCATCAGTCTCAAACGTGGGCCGGCTCTAACTGCAGCTAGTCCCACCCACCCCACAGAGCCATAAATTCCAGGCTGAGTTATTTTTCTTTTCCCTTACATCTTTCACAACTCCTGCAAGCTTTCCCCCATTATTTCTGCCCAAGGTGGTTTGCAGAAGCCAGCCTGTAGCATACTGGGTTAATTTAACGGCTTCCCCTCGGGACTGCGGGCCTGTTTATGTTGTAGCTTTTCCGCTGATTTCCCAATTTGATATGAAAGCTAAATTAAGCAGAGGCATGGCTTGCAGGTCTCACCCGCTGCATACCAGGGAGGTGCTGGCACCTCGCGGGCTTGCGGCAGGCCTCCTTGGGGACTTGCCACCTGTCAGGGCAGCGGCCCGCATGAAAATTAGCACTAGTTACTGAATGCCCCACGAAACAAGAGGGGGAAATAAAAGGAGCCACCCTTGATTTTTAGAGGTGCATGGCAAAAAGGCAGGAGGGAGAGGGAGAATGTGGAGATGAGGCGTTTGAAAGCACTTGAAGACTTGTAGAGATGTGGGGTTGCAAAAGGAGAATTATGGTGCAGCTGAATGTGCTGCTGTTCTCTAGATGAGCCCATACGATTGTATGTAAAGCGTGTAGCACCAAGGAGAAGGTGTAATTTGCAAACGGTGAGCTGGAAAAAGAAGCCAGCACCTCCTTATGTTACTGCTGCTGTGCCAGATGCTCTTTCTGGATGTTATATTGCACGAGTTCACAACAAAAGAGGAAGGGGTGAGAAGGAACATGGCAGGAACATCCTAGAGCTAAAGGGGAAGCAGTAGCTTACCCACTCAGCATCCTAAAGGCCTGTTGGGTCCTTGCAGAGCCAGCCACTTAATGCAAATATCGGTGTCTAGCATAGAACAATCCATAGTTGCCGCTGGGCTTCTTCCATTCCAAAGCAAAAGGTTCCAGGGCTCTGAATGTCTTAGAGTAGCATGTTAAGTAAATCCTGGTTCTCAACCAATGTCTCAGCTCCTCACCCTGGGATTTTCCGAGCTAGATTGCTAACACTTGTTTAACATGAAGGAAAGACCATGGTACTGTATAGTTAGATCTGGTATGTACTGTATGTCTGTGCATGTGTGTGATCCCTGCATTATTGGGGATGTGGTTGTTGTGACTATGTTACTGTGTGTCTTCATGTTGCATGGTTGTGGCACATTGTTCTGGTTGTACATGTGCAGCACTGTTGTCACAATACGTGTGGTCCTGTCTCAAGGTTCTTTTGCACGCTTGTGTTGCCTCATTTCTATAGACAATGCTTTTATGTGGGTTGTATATTTAGAAATTGGGTTTATGCATACTGCATAAAATATATATCTTTGATGTGTTTTTATGGCTGTTAATATTGATGTAGCTATTTTCTAGGCATGACATGTGAAGACAATGTGTGTGTGTTATATGTATGCAGTAGTGTTTACCCCTTTTTCAGCTGTCAGGTTAAGGTGTCTATAGGTGCATCCTCCAACAGATTCACTGCAGTGTGTCTTTGTTAATATTATGATGCATTCATTTGTACTACTGATCGGAGCAAGGTGCCACTATGCCCAAACATGTGAGGCTTTCAGTGCCTGTCAGGAATCCCATGTAGCCAAGCGGTGTCTCCTGCCACATTCTCATTTGCACCTGAAGGCTTCCAGGGAGCCAGAGATGGAGCTAGCTCTAGGGAGAGGGCTGCCCACATCTCTTTGTCTGGGAATCCCATCCCTCATCGCCAGGCTCTCTGCGAAATAACTGCAATATTCGCCTGCATCAGCAGGGAGAGAATGACTGAGGGAATCATTTTCTGTCTCTGAGCTGATAATAACTTTGGTGTCTTGCAGCCAAGAAGTGTGGAGATCTTGAAGATTAAACAATAAAAAGGAAAGAAAGGCAAGACAGACAGACAGACAGACAGACAGACAGACAGAGAAAGAAAGAAAGAAAGAAAGAAAGAAAGAAAGAAAGAGTTTTGTGTTAAGGGTGATGGTTGGGGCAGGTAGATGTAGAGAAGGATGGGAGGGTGTTGGGGAGGTGAGGGCAGGAGGAACAGTGAAAAATAGAAAAGATGGCACATAACCCCCTGCCCCTCTCCTAGCCATACTGTAAAGGAGGTGACATATCTGTAAATGATGTGTTGCTTTTCAGGACAAGATGATTTCTTGTTGAAATCCTGTTGCTTATACTATTAAGTTGCACTGAGTAGGCTCATTTCACTTCAAGGAGAATATGGAGGAGCTGACTCACCAAATTCCCACCACATACAGTGGGAGTGCTGTATTGTGACTTAATATGCCAAGCAACAGGATTTCAGCTTTTGTCTCCTTTGCACCAAATTTTAAATGGGAAGATTTAACTGGGGAAGAGGCCTGTCCTCTTGCAAGGTACAAATTCATGGCATTATGTAAATACAATTGTTACCATTGCCATTTTGATTTTGCTGGTGGTAAGGCCATCCTGATGTGTTCTGGAGCCATGCATTGAGCAAACCAATTTGGAAACTCTTTGACTCAGGCATATTTAGAGATGAAGACATGGAGCAGTATGAAGTAATTTTACAGGGGTCTTTCTTTCTTTCTTTCTTTCTTTCTTTCTTTCTTTCTTTCTTTCTTTCTTTCTTTCTTTTCTTTCTTTCTTTCTTTCGTTCGTTCTTTCTTTCTTTCTTTCTTTCGTTCTTTCTCTCTCTCTCTCTCTCCCCCTCCCTCCCTCCCTCCCTTTTTCTCAAGAGTTCCTCAATAAGGGAATCAGTAATGGCAAATAAACATTCCCCCAAAACGCACCTGCTTCTTTTGCCATTACCTATGAAAGATCTTGGGCATATCCTGGGTCATGTTCTTAGTCCAAGATGTGAAACAGACCTGGAACCGTATGGCAAGGTGTGGATGCCAAAACATCTCACCCCAGATCCCTTTTATGGTGGAGAGTTTCCTTAGTAGACATGTTGATATGGACATAATGTGTTGGAGAAATGTTTCAGTCAAATAACTGCACAAGACTTCAGCCAGCAACCTTACTGTTGCGTGTTAAAGTAGAGAAATATCATAAGGAGTTATTCTTATATATTTATTTAAAGAGTGTTTACGTATCTGCATTCAAAAAGAAAAAAACCTCCCAAAGCAGTTTATGTATCAGTAATGCAACATTATAGTTCAATAATCCAGGAAGAAATGACATAAAAGAAGGGGACAAAGCACTTGTTAGTAGCAGGATAGATCTTAATGATCAGCTAAAAGGGGGAATAGTGATGGTAACAATCTGGATTATTTTTCATAGTTGCTCCCTAAAGAAATTAGTACTGTCTGCTGATAGATATTGGAGGGTGATGCCTAGGTTTTCAGCATGGCCTTTTATTCTTCCCTTACTGCCATCAGTCCTAATCTTTAATTGGTATGTGTGTTTATGTCTAGGTGCAACGTACGGGTGCACCAGTCACACCAGGGATCATGGTGCCTACCTGCCAGATTTAGTCAGCAGGCAGATTTGAGCTGTACACCTAAACCCCTAGAAAAGGCCTCAGAAGAGAAGACATCCAGACTCAGCCTGGAACAATGAGGAAGAAGAGGCAGTTGATGGAGAGGAAGGATGATTAGAAAAGTGAGAAAAATATACTGGATGAGTGAAAGAAGGAGGGAAAAATGACTGGTTGGAAAGCTAGAGGAGCATATGGGTATGTATCTGTGGTGAGGATTCATGTGAGACAATGGGTATCCGTATACATGTGTAGCTCTCATTTATCTCTTTGAACTCACCAGCACAACCTTTTTATTACCCAGGAAATGCCTCTTTATCTTTTATGTGTTGCTTATCTTTCAAGCATCTGTCCCAGGGTTGGCGCATCTGTCACCTTTTCTGAGCAAAGTGCAATATTGTTTGCCTGGGCAAAATGCAATGCTTCTCCTTGATGAGAGTTACTTTCCCCATCTCTGAGTAAGTCATGCTTGCCATACCCGTGGATGAGGCCAACCTAATCATTTGGCCTCAGGCAATAGATCTGAGGCAGCATGAAGGGCAGCAAATTGTTAGTTACTTTGATATTACTGTATTTTTTACTGTGCAGGAGGGAAAGAGATGTTTGTGAAAATATCTGCCTGACCATAATTTGGTCAACTATGTATCTTGACCTAGGTGGATGCAGCAGGAGATATGTCATTATCTTCTCTACCTCAGACAGCAAAATACTTTGGGCCGGCTCTTGTTATGGATTGGTCACCAGCTGCTGCAGAATGGGATTGAGGTAGCACCCTCTAAAGAAAAGGTTTGGTATTTTTTCCTATTCCCCACCCACCCCACCCCAATATTCTGATTTTTCATGGCCCCCTAGCTACTGTCCCCTGTAGGAATTTTCCACCTTCAGCAAGTAACCAGACATACTGTGGTGTGGCGTCTCATCTTGCCTCGCCTCGCCGTCACCTTCATTTCTTCTTGAGTTGAATCTAGGACAAGGCCTGGCCTGGCTGTCACTGTCTGCCTGAGAAAGATTCCCTTTTTAAGGCAAAGATTGGATCAGTAGCTTGCTGCAAACCCGGGGGGATGTTTACAAGAAATTCAGAAACAAAGACAATATTCAGTGACTCTTTGTTATTGTGAGGTGGGTCAGAGAGATGCAAGGAAGCTCTTTGCTGTGTCTCTATAGAGAAAGCAAGAAAATAAAGCCTGCTGGTGGCTAATTTGCATATGCTAATTAAGCCACACTAGAACCACATTACCAGATTATAGTTCCTGGCAATGTGAAATGTGGCCACCCCCAAGAATGAGAGTAGCTTTGGCCCTGTGCGAGATTTCTCTTCCTCCCCCTCATCTCATCCCACTTCTGCTTTGCCTATTGAACATGCCCTGGAAGTAGGGTGGCTCCTTACATGTCACCGAAAAGGGACCGATGCATTTCCAAAAAGGAGGACTGTCTTCCCTGAAGGAGGGTACATGGCTACCTTACCGAGAATCCAGAACTTTCTCTGCACCAGTAAGGCAGAAGTTGCTGATGGACAGCCTCCATCTAAAGATACATCTTAAATTGACAAGCATTACACCTGGAAGGGTGTGGTGGTGGTACAAATAGTATAGCCATGTCAGAAATCAAACCTTGTCTGCAGACCTTGACATTGAATGTGCTCAAGGGCACATCTGTAGGGCTGGCCTTATTTTAGGTCAGGGTGAGGCCCCTGCCTCAGGCAGCTGACTGTTGGATGAGGAGAAGGAGGAACAAGAGCAGGTGTGTTTCTTTCTTTCTTTTTCCTCCTGTGGAAGATAACTTCTGGGGTTTTCTGCCTTAGGTAGCAAAATAAGATGGCCAGCCTTTGGATACTATGCACAGGGACTGAGGGTGTGTTGTTATTCACTCTTCTGTGTTGGGCAGCAGAATGCATTGAATCTGTCATGCATATCTGAGTGCAGCCTGATCCATAGTGAATCAGGCAACAGATACATTTAATCCAGAATCTTGCTTCCTTTAGTGGCCACAACAAACGGTGGCTTCATGGAAGCTCACAGGTACAGCAAGAAAATGATAAGGGATCTCCCAAGGATTGTCTGGTCTCAGGCTGCCAGCTGAAGTCTCAGGAAAATGCTGTGATTCCCTAGGTCTCCAGGGAGGAGATAAATCTCACAGCAAGTGGTACTGGAAGAAAAGGAGTTTGATATGAAAGCGAGAGCTGATTTTAAAGCCCAAGTGCTGCCTGTCTCCACTGTTTCCCATCTGGCGCCAGAGCTCAGTTTAAAGGTGTTTGCTCGTGTGTTGCTTTTGTATAATGTCAGCAGTCAAAAAGCCTGAGGGGAGGCATTGAGCTGTTGGATACATGCCCTTGGGCCCATTGTGATATTTGGGGAGCAAGGTGGGAAGTGGCATGCTGCCATCACAACTTATGAGCCTTTTGTTCCACATGTTCTGGTGGCAATGGTGCAGAGACTGAGGGAGGACAGAAGAAAGCTTTCCCGTCTAGTTCTAGGATGCTGTATTCCCTGGTTGGCCACATATTATCTAGATTTTGGGCCCATGTGTCCTAAGTTTCAGGTGTATTTCCATAATCAGTTGCCTCGGCCTCTTGATCTCAAGCATTGTCCCTGCAATCTCAGGGAATGGGATGCCACCGACCTGGCAGCCTTAGGCTTCCTCCTTGAGCTGCTGTTCTGCAGTACATGGCTTTGGATGGCATACTCCATCCTTCCCAAGTACGCGCTCTCTATATGTGCTGCATGGCAAACCCTGCCCCTTATCTCCTCCAGTGCAGTTATTGAGCACATAGGAATGGCACCTGTTTCAGGAAGGCTGGCATATTGCCTCTGAACATAGAGATCCTATGTGGCCATCATGGACGAGCCTTCTGTGAACTTGCATAGTTCCTTTTTAAAGCTTTATCGGCTAGTGGCCATCATCACCACATCTTCTGGCAGTAAATTCCATGAATTAATTAAGCATTGTAAAAAGATGTACTTCCTCTTGTCTGCCCTGAGTCTACTGCCCATCAATTTCATTCATAACCCCAATTCTACTATTATGAGAGAGGGAGAGGGAGAGAACAACTCTTTCTCTCTGTGTTTGTCTCTGTCACCTCTCTTTCTCTTCACCATCTCTCCTCCTATCTGGTGCCCCTTCAACTAAGATGAACTATATCTCACAATGTCTGTAGCCACCATGATGCTTAAAAGCCCCCAAAGATTTCTTATAGGAGGGTTGTTCCCAAGAGGCAATAATTTGGTTGCTATTTTTGGTATTGTTTTAATCTCTATGCTTTGGAGTAGCAACAATTGAAATGATGTATGTAGAGACATACAGCATTTTGAGCAAAATAGCTATTACTTCCTTCTGTTTATTATTTATTTAGAGTGTTTTCTTACTCCTGTCTTCAGAAAATTACAGAACAGCTAAAAGCAATATAGTCCTTGTTGGATAGCCATATGGCGTATATGACATAACACAAAAGGAAAGGAAGAGGGGTTGATGAGGAAAAACAAACAAAGCCAGGGACCAATCTTTAAAGTTACAATGATTGATTGATTGATTGATTGATTGATTGATTGATTGATTGATTGATTGATTGATTGATTAGCCACACGCACAGACAGACACACAGAGTGCCTTTCTCCTAAAGAATCCAAGGTGGCTAATTTTCAAAGAGGTAACAGTTAGTCAGTTTTTGCATAACAAAAGACGGTTGGGAGAGAGATCTTGGTGTCAAAAAGATTATTGTAATGTCCAGCTTGAATGGAAAGAGTTAAAGCTGATGAGCTGCTCTTTTGGCTAAGCTGATGAAGTAGAACTGCTACCTGTGCTAGAAATCCATGTCACTGTGATGGTCACACACTTATACATTGGGAATTATGGCTGCAGAGCAATATATCACATCCTGCTGTAATAAAACAACATCATCCATGGGGTCGGTGTACATATGGGAGAGATTTGGGTATGTGGAGAGGGTGTGTGTGCACACCAAGACCAGGAACTTGCAAGGGATGAACTGGAAAGATCAAGGAGGGGCTGAGGTATAAAGTACTTGAGTCACAGGGTAATGTAGTGTGTTGTACAAAGGAGAAGGGACTGTGGGATTTGAACATGTACTGTATTCAAAATGTGTCTCATTTCAGTTAGATAGGAGTAGCCACCATTTCTCAAGGTTTGATCAGATGGGCATTTAGCCTGCTCTGTGGTTCACTGTGGATTGGTTCACTCCTTTTTCCAACCATCACATAATGCAATTACTGGCTCAAACAAAATTGTCCCTAGAACATCCCTACATGCACTTCTTTAAGCCCTTGTCAAGGTCTTTTTTTGGTGTGCAGGTAGGATTGTTCTTTATTTTGTTGTTGTTTAGTCATTAAATTATGTCCGACTCTTTGTGACCCCATGGAGCAGAGCACGCCAGGTCCTCCTTTCTTCCACTGCCTCCCAGAGTTTGGTTAAAATTCATGTTGGTAGCTTTGATGACACTGTCCAGCCATCTCGTCCTGTGTCGTCCCCTTCTCCTCTTGCCCTCACACTTTCCCAACATCAGGGTCTTTTCCAGGGAGTCTTCTCTTCTCATGAGATGGCCAAAGTATTGGAGCCTCAACTTCAGGATCTGTCCTTCCAGTGAGCACCCAGGGTTGATTTCCTTTAGAACGGATAGGTTTGTTCTCCTTGCAATCCAGGGGACTCTCAAGAGTCTCCTCCAGCACCACAATTCAAAAGCATCAATTCTTCGGCGGTCAGCCTTCTTTATGGTACAGCTCTCACTTCCATACATCGCTACTGGAAAAACCATAGCTTTGACTATGCGGACCTTTGTTGGCAAGGTGATGTCTCTGCTTTTTAAGATGCTGTCTAGGTTTGTCATCGCTTTCCTCCCAAGAAGCAGGTGTCTTAATTTTGTGGCTGCTGTCACCATCTGCAGTGATCATGGAGCCCAAGAAAAGTAAAATCTGTCACTGCCTCCATATCTTCCCCTTTCTATTTGCCAGGAGGTGATGGGACCAGTGACCATAATCTTAGTTTTTTTGATGTTGAACTTCTGACCATTTTTTCACGCTTCTCTTTCACCCCTGTTGTTCAAGAATTGTTCTTATTTGATCCATTTCCAGCATGTGTGATCACTTGAAACAGAGCAAAGGTGAGCCTTCTCACTATTGAGACTCTTTCCGGTTGGAATTTCTGCTGTCATGAACTGGCAAATAAAATACAATTTCAGGATATT